ATGAGGTGAATTCTCAGTCTCGAAGGGGCTTTTATTGCCATAGTAAAGAGATTTGCTCTATTCATGGTAAAGCCGTGGACTACTGCAAATTTATTTGGTCCATCTCAGCAGAAAGGTTCTGAAACGATGCTGCGTGCGCGAAGAGCTCTAATGGGGTCACGCGTGAATCGCGCGCCCCCCACATAGCAGTCAGTCATGTTGAATATACCATTGCTTGCTTATGGTTTTCTATTTATTCCTTGGGCAGGGGCCGAATGAGTGAAGGCTTATTCAGGCTGAATGGGGTCTCGGCGTCTGTTTTATGTGGTACTACTTCACTGAATCAAAGAGACGATATTATGGACAATATCGAGAGCGGGTCATTGAGGTATGTTTTTCACATCAACAGTTAATTATTCAACTATGACATGAAGGTTATCGTGGAGACGTGAATGGATTTTTGATTAATGAAGCTCGACTATCTCGATATATCTTTCCTAGGTTCCTTTACCTCACCCCGGAGTATGTTGAAAATGCGACGAGCCTCTTGCATAGAATTAAATCGAGTGAGTTCTTACACTGNCAGTCAGTCATGTTCAATATACCATTGCTTGCTTATGCTTTTCTATTTATTCCTTGGGCAGGGGACGAATGACTGAAGACTTATTTAGGCTGAATGGGGTCTCGGCGTCTGTTTTATGTGGTACTACTTCACTGAATCAAAGAGACGATATTATGGACAACATCGAGAGCGGATCATTGAGGTATGTTATCCACATCATTAGTTAATTATTCAACTATGACATGAAGGTTATCGTGGAGACGTGGATGGGTTTTTGATTAATGAAGCTCGACTATCTCGATTTATCTTTCCCAGGTTCCTTTACCTCACCCCGGAGTATGTTGAAAATGCGACGAGCCTCTTGCATAGAATTAAATCGAGTGAGTTCTTACACTGATAGTTTTCGCGTTGCTCAAACTTCCAGCGTCTTCGAACAAACGTAGCTCTGTTCCATAATGTCCTATTTGTTAGAAGTTCGACTGATTGCAATTGACGAAGCTCATTGTGTCTCGCAATGGGGTCATGACTTCCGTGCTTCATATCGCCATCTTGCGAAGATCAGGAATATTCTGAGGTTAGTAAATCTTAGTGTACATATAAGCAACTTCTAGGGTTTTTTGTTTATGGAAATCGCTTTCGAATGGTACAGGCACTCCTTTTTCGATAAGTCTTTAGAGTTGACTAACAAAGAATTATTCGATAAAATTCATAATTTCTCTTATCCGTAGCGAGGGACACTTTTTGTAAGCATTTGGACGGAAGCTTTCAAATCGCATTGAGCCCAGCAAAGCTTGTGTATAGTAAGGTCTGCTGGATATACAGCTATGAAAATCTTAAATTTTTTATAAAAAAAAATCTAATCTTCTGAAAGATTTTTCAGATATGTTTTTTTTTGTTGCTCACCAAAATATATTTTTCAGTGATTGCCCTGTGATGGCTCTGACAGCTACTGCCACTAAAGTGGTTAGAAAAGATATAATTGATAGTCTGGAACTGATCAACCCGGTTGTCGTTTGTACTGGATTTGACAGGTGATTATTAGAGAACTTGCGTTGAATTTCGAATAGTTGTCAACTAGGCCATAGTTGGGCTCCGCTTTCACAATCCCTTTTACTCAAAATTTTTCAGGAGAAATCTATACTTGTCGGTTAGTCAAATGACTTCCATGAAAGAAGATCTCACTAAGCTTTTAGTTGCTGAAGACAATGTGCTGGTGAGAAAATTCATACTTTCTGATGATTCATTCCAGATTTTTCATTTTTTTCTCTATCAATTCATTTTGTTCTGTATTGGAAAAGCCTTGACTTCTAGGGACGACATTTTGGTGGTGCTACCATTATTTACTGCCAGACTCGAGCTATGGTAGAGTCGGTTCATGAGTATCTTAGAGGTCAGTTCGGTTTCGTAGTGAGGACTCTTTCACTCATATTCCTCGATGCTAATTATGCTTAAAGTTATGTTAATAAGTATTAAATAAGAAAATTTCGGCAATTGTGACATTCAAGATATAGAGACGAACGGCCGTTTCATTTTCTTAGCTATATTTGGATTTCCATACATCTCACATCCGCCTTGTTCTGTTCTTTCGAACCGAAGTTGAAAGTGTTAAAAAATTCCATCTGCTCATGTATAAACCGTTCTTATTGCAGGCCGTGGTGTGAAATGCGCTATGTATCATGCTGGTTTGAGCGACAAAGCGAGAAACGATGCACATCACGGTTTCATACAAGACAAGGCCAG